CCCCAAAACCCCAAAACCCCAAAACCCCATTAGTTGTAGATTAGTAAAAAAATGATAAAATTTTAAACAATAAAAATGAATAATATCAGTGATGTTAAAACTATGAACACACATAACCACAACTCCTAGTCATAACCATCTCTGCCGTTAGTAGGTAAATTGAAGGCTAGTCACTAATCAAAATTCGCTCCTGTTGAAATGAAAAACATTGTTAAATACAGTTGGAAGGTAGGTAAATCTAATTTAGTTGATTATTTCATCAGTTTATTATGGTTATAACTTCATATAGAAACTGAAAAAAATTGAAAGCGAAAAAATGTTTGAGGTGCCTTCAAAATTTTTATTGCCTGCAGCATATATGACGAAGGAAGATTACGAAAAAACTAGAAAGGAAGCCAAGAAGTAATCAATCAGATTTAAGTCAAAGTCCAAAAAAAACCTCAATAGACATGAAATCTTAGTTGAAAGCGAACCTTAATAATCTGAGAACCCTTATAATGATGTGGAAGTGATTGAAGAAGATAATCATAATGACTATAGAAATAATGAACTAGAACAAGCTAATGAAAAAATTGATATTCTATCCAACTAGAATGCCAAGAGATAAAATCAGCATAGCGTTGAGTAATCAGGAGTTAACTAGGATTATCAGATATTGAATTCTAATATTGGGGGTAGTAATATTATGAGTAAAAGACTTTAAAGTCAAAACAGCCGTGGAGCTCAGCCAAGTCTTGTTGGAAACGGAGATCGTATTATAATGCAATCGAAATTAATCAGAGAATATATAAAGTCAACTAAGGATTACAACATCATTAATGATCGTAAAAAGAAAAAGAAATCTAAGAAATTTATCAAGTCTGCAGTAGAGGCTAATAATGAGAATTTCAACTTACTAGAGCATAATTAAGGCTAATAGCCAAATATAATTGATTAGCTTTATCCTAAGTTAAAGATTGAAACAGTGCCAACTGGATAACCCAAGCCAAAATTAGACAAGAAAATACTTAATTATTACGTAAACTAAGAATAGTAGCAGGAGCTTATAAGAAAACTGAAAACAATATAAAAGTAGATTAAATTTTAGCGAAACAAAAGCCTTTAAACTTTAAAAAGTTCGGCTTCAAATGTAATGCTTCATTAAAATCCTAGTTTCTAGCAATTTAACCTAGCTCATTAAAAGCCATAGCCAATTATTGAAACAGATAAAATGTTCTTTATAGCTCACGAGAATGATACTTAGAATAGAAAAGATCTTATCAATTCGAAACAATCTAGGACTAGGCAAAATAAAGATATAGTTACTCCTGTCTTAAGCGGATATTATACTAATTAGAAGCATGAAAAAGGCTTTAGCAGTGAAAAATCTCAAAAAACTACTTATCGAACAAAAGAGTAGAAAGTAGAGGAGAATATGAAATTACTTATGGACTTAGATATAAGTGAGATCGATGATAGTGAAATCATGAATATAGTAGCATAGAGTCATTCAAATATAATAGCGGATGATGATGTTGATGAGATGCAGGGCATTATGAAAATAATTAATCAGAAAAAGTCCACCTGATTATTGTGAATTACTCTACTAATGAAATATATTATTGATTAAAGATGTTATGATTGTGATCATAAATTTTCTTAATTTTCAGAAATTATCTCAAATAAAAATTGAAGTTGGGGTTTTGGGGTTTTGGGG